TGCAAACGTGGCAATAACACTTTCTGGTGAGACTTGCAGGTCGGCTGTGTAAATTAGGTACAGAATTGGGCCAAGTATACTTCCCTGCGGTACTCCGGCTTCAATTGGTTCAAGTGTTGAGTACGCACCTTTATATTTTACTCTGAAGAATCGGCAAGATAAGTAGGACACAACACCTAAATGTGAACAAATTATTTGCGTCTTGTACCATAGCTCGATACTGTGATACTGGTAGCTTTGCCTGACGCTCAGGAATTGGAACAAAACAAAAACAGAAAAAACCAGAAGTTATTCGTAAAATTAAGAAACGAATTGAGCGAAACCCACACCGTAGCTGCAATCAAATCGCAAAGGAGCTGAACGTGTCACGTGAAAGGATGCAACACATTTTGAAAAATGTGGCCGGACTAAAGCCATTGAAGTTAAACAAAGTGCACGATCTCACCGATGAACAAAAAAGTAATAGTCGAAAGAGCCAAAGTATTGGTTCGTTTGGTCGGTTACCAAATTAGATTATTTTTGTTGAGTCACCATTCGTAATTGCGGAGATCGTAAACAAGCAAAATGATCGAGTTTACTTGTCAGCAGGCGCCACTGATGGTGATGTTGCTGGCAGCCGTAACGGCCGATAGTCGCTCTCGCTCGTGTCCATCGACCGTGGGGTAAAAATAAACATCCAAATCTATCTGAAATTATTATAGAGGAAGCACTAAAGTTCTAGGAAGATAAGTATTGGGGTCACAGGCGTTGGACATTCCAACAGAATTCAGCACCTTCGCACAAAGGTGCTGAAAGTCGATCAACAATGACTGAAAAACAACGTTTTGTGCTTAATTCCATGAACACAATGGCCACCGTGCTCACCTGTTATAAATCTTTAAGATTTATCGGTCTGGGGTGTTTTATAAAGTAAGGTTAGGAAAGTAAAATATCAAAATGTCGATCGCCTGAACCAAGCGATAAGCCAAGAATAGGCCAAAATACCGTAAAACCATTAGCGGGCAGCGTGCGATAGCTTCATTGACCGTATGAAGGTCATAATTCATGCTAGATAAAGCTATATTAAACCAATGTAAATTAACTTAAAAATTTAAAGTTCTTTTCGCATATTTTCATTTACTTTTCATTAAATTTAACAAAAATAAATAAAATAGAGCGTTTTACTTTGTTGCAATTTTCGTCAGCATCCCTGTATATATGTACGTAAATAAAATGAATAGAAACAAAAATCAATAACCGTGGATCCATTTTATGCTATTTTATATATGTAAATTTACCATCCTTATCATCTCAACAGCTGCCGTTAATTATAACACCTCTGATATTCTCCAATGAGCTCACAAGTTCTCTTTCCCTGGTGTCGAGATTCACATTTTTTTGATACTCTTCTCACGGCAACAAGTGGGAAATCAAATACTAAATCACCATCCAGTACTTGTTTATCTACTACATGGGCATTCAAGTTCTCAACAACACAGTAAATATGTTTATTAAAATCATAGAAAAGTTGTTCCAGTTCAGGAAAATCTACCTCTTATTTTGTGCAATTTAATTAACGTGGCAGGATGAAACAGTAAAGCACAATATTGATATGATGTAGTTTATCGTCTGTTTAAATAAGACAAAGAAAAGAAAGAAAATTTGTCAAATCTTATTTATAAGATCAATTGTAATGATTGCAATGGAGCTTATATAGGAACAACCAAACAAAGATTGGCAAAAAGAGTTGGTGAACACAAAAGTACGTGTAAACGTAAAGATGATGGGAAAAAACAGCTCTTTCTGAACATTCTATTTCTAAAGGACATAGTTTTAACTTTGATGAAATAATAATTCTGGAAATTGAAAATAATTATCATAAAAGATTAATGAATGAAGTTATTCACATCATATTAAATAATGAACAGGTGGTAAACTACAAGAGAGACACGGATAATTTTAGCACACTTTACTCTAATTTATTGGATAAATACAAGTTAATCAAAAATAAGAGATAAAAGAAAATAAAAGTCAGCTGTTGGGTTTCTACTGATTGAGTAATAAGAGATAAAAAAGAGAATGTTTGTTATTATTATTATTTTTGGCGTAATGTTATTAAATTTTTTAGTTATGTTATACTAGTTATTTATGTCCAAAAAAAATTGTGTATTAAGTTTGAATGTGTGAATTTTAATTGTTTTAATTTTTTATTTTAATTTGTTAATTCAATTTTTATTGCTAATGACTATTGTGGAACAAAAAATTACTGCATTTTATAAAAAATAAGGTATATAACATATATTTTGATGTTAGTATTTTATATTTAAATTAATGTTTGTTATTATATAGCACTGATGAAGTTCTTAAATAACGAACGAAATATTTGCCAACATTTTTAAATAAATGCGTTTAATTGTTCGGGTCTGTAAGCTGATAAGAATCTAAATACAAACAAAAAAGCACAATATTATCGGTTAGAAGTTTAAAGGAATACACCTTCTATAAGCATTTTTTATATCTATAAAAAGAACCACCAGCTCTGTCAGCACTATAAATTCAAGAAACATCTATCCAGCACAATACATTATCTCAAAAGAAATAAGTATAAGTATATAAGTATATATAGCGTACACCTTCTACGGTAAGAAACTATATTAGTTATCTATGAGTCTTTAGTCGGTGGTTTTTAAGAAAAATTTCATTAATATACCCATAAGAATCCCAAGTGAAAGTGTCGGTGATTTTATCCGTATCCTCTGAAAGACTTCGTCAATTTAAAAATAAATTAGGTGCTACCGATGGGAAAACTTAGTATATTTAATAACTGAGTGCTACCAATAGACCATACTGTGTGATCTTAAAACCAAATGCTATCGATAGATCACGCTGCATAATTTTAGAGCGAAGTGCTAACGAATGCCACACTTTTAATTAAAAAAGCTTAGTGTTACCAATAGGCCAAAACTTGAATTATATAGAAAAACTAACTTTTTACTGACAAGCTACACTTTGGTATATCGAAAAGCAGAGTTTTATTTAATTCCGAAGGTCTTATTTGTAATGGCGTTCATGATAAATATTCGTTTGTTCATATTGCATTTATTTCTATCTAAATCAAAATGGTTAGTATAACTGTTATATCGTATATTCGGCCCAAAAACAAAATATCGTGATGAAGTTTTTGAATTAAATGTATATTTATGTGTACTTTGTTTTTT